GCAGCCATGAATGGTCAGTACTATGGTTTCATGCTGCTGCAAACAATCAGTAGTGTGGTTAAGTGTCTGGAAAGAGAGGGAACTCAATACCAAGTGGAAAATGTAAGATGGAGATGGAAGGAAAACCAATGCTAGCGTAAACTGCAAGCCTTAGTCTCTTTTTGTTCATACAGGTTAAAACGAAGAGCGACAAGAATGAAGTCAGAGGAAACAAACACTTTTCCAAAATGTAAAATAAAAAAAGATGGAAGAATTTCCATAAACTTTTTTTTTCTTAGTTTTGATAAGAGGTGGGGCTTTGTATACTAAAGAGTGGAAGCAATGGTTTGCATATATGAACTGTAATGAAGAACCATCCTTCATTATCATTCCCAGCCTTTCCAATGGATAACAAAGTCATGGAGTCACAGTAATGAATACAAAGTCACTAGCGAATAAAAAAAACAGCGGAAGCATGCTTCAGAAATTGAGTTAAAAAAAGCCAGCTTCCACATCAATCATGAGAGAAAATTGGGATCTCCGAGTGCCTAAACTTCCGAGTGTACAAGTGACGCGGCCAGCAGGTCGGGGGAGGCGATCCTTCCTCTTTATTCAGCACTGGTGAGGCCACACTTGGAGCACAGTGTCCAGTTCTGCGCTCCTCACTACAAGAGAGACATGAACATACTGGGGAGAGTCCAACCAAGGGCCATGAAGATGATTAAGGGTCTGGAACATGTCTCCTATGAGGAAAAGCTGAGAAAGCTGGGACTGTTCAGCCTGGAGAAGAGAAGGCTCAAGAGGACCTTATTAGTGTCTAAATACCGGAAGATAGGGTGCAAAGAGGATAGAGCCAGGCTCTTTTCAGTGGTGCCCAGTGGCAGGACAAGGGGCAATGGGCACAAACTGACACACAGGAGGTTCCCTCTGAATATTAGGAAACACATTTTTACTGTGAGGGTGACTGACCACTGGAACAGGTTGCCCAGGGAGGCTGTGGAGTCTCCATCCTTGGAGATACTCAAAAGCCATCTAGACATGGTCCTGGGCAAAAGTCCTGGGCACCAGGATCTAGGTGGCCCTGCTTGAGCATAGGGGTTGAACAGGATTATCTCAAGAGGTCCCTTTCAATCTCAACCATTCTGTGATTCTGTGACATGAAGCCTCTGATGAAAGAGCCAGGTCACAGGTTAGCAAAGAAGCCAGACTGGCAGCTCTGAGTTCAGAGCAACATGGATTTTTCTCCAAATTCCCATGTGCATCTTGCACCCAGGACTTCTGCTCATTCCTTCCATTGGCAGAGGGAAAAACACTTTCAATTGACAAAAAGGAAAAGAAAATAAACACCACTTCACACATATCTGAACAATGTCTACCTCTTTATGTTCACTTCGTTAGGATTCAGAGCTCCCTCTGGCTCCAAGTGAAACACGTGGGAGCTTTGCCAGACTGCAATGGGAGTGGGTCCAGGCCCTTTACACAACCTCCCAGTGTTTTCCTCCACCCTGGAGTTATGTAAGAAACTGAGCTAAACTGTAAATATTACACAATCTCAAAAAGGGAAGGGACTAGTAAAATATCTGTATGACTCCATGCTAACTCACCCCTTCCTTTCCACTTTTGCTTATAGTCCTCACTTAAGAGTATAAAGATATGCCTGAACTGGTCATTTCTTGTCTTTTAAGCATACTCCAGGAACAGTGAACTCCAGGAACTGCTTCATCAGCTTAGACAGGACATCACATAGAATCTGGAGACAGACTTTTCAGCAGGGCCTGTTGCAACAGGACAAGGGGTAATGGTTTTAAACTAAAAGAGGGCAGATTTAGACTACAAATAAGGAAGAAATTTTTGACAATGAGGATGGTGAAACACTGGCACAGGTTGCCCAGAGAGGTGGGAGATGTCCCATCCCTGGAACCATTCCAGGTCAGGTTGGACAGGGTTCTCAGCAACCTGATCTCGTGGAAGATGTCATTGCTCACTGCAGGGGGGTTGGACTAGACGACCTTTAAAGGTCCCTTCCAACCCAAACTACTCTATGATTCTATGTTTCTATGATTCTAAGCAGGACAACAGCACCAGGAGGAAAGCTGCAGTCTTCCCCCTAGCTCTGCTGCAGTCACTGCTGCACTGTGTTTCCAGGATCCAAAGCCCCACGTGCCCATCGTGCTGCTCTTGCTGTGGCTCTGAGCCCCACGCTCCTATACCAGCCCAGAAAAACAACCCAGGGATTATAATCATCCAACAAAAGAAGCAGCGGTAGTGTTCCAGCTTGCTTGGTAACTACAAGTAGGTCAGATGGGAGCAGAAAAAATACTGAGTTAAGCTATAGCCTACACACTCTGTAAGCACAGTCCCATGTCTGGCATCATATTAACAAAAAAAAAACCTTCCTAAGCAGGACAGCTGCCCAAGGCATATTCTATGACCTAAAAGACATGTAGAAGCAACTGTCCCCTGCTTAGGCGGGGCAAAGAGATCGCCATAAACCCAGACATTTCAAATCCTCATTATACTGTAAAACAGCCATTTACCCAATAACAGCATTTCTCCAGCATAGTTGATGTTCTACCGAAATATGTTTGCGGCAATAACAATGAAGCTCAGTAACTCAGTAGTAACTTCATATCTTATAATAGTTAAAACACAGAATTGTAGAATGGTTTGAGTTGGAAGCGACCTTAAAGGTCATCTAGTTCCAAACCCTCTGCTATGGGCAGGAACACCTTCCACTAGACCGGGTTGCTCAAAGTCCCATCCAACATGGCCTTGAACACCTCCAGGTATGTGATCTTGAAGGATATGCTGTTATGCTGAAGGATCTCACCCTATTTTGAAGTGTAAAGCATTGCGCATAAACAGAAATTGCCTGGTCTAGTACTACATACTTAAAATATAATGAATTGTGCATGAGTGGAAATTGCTAGTTCTAATGTTACATACTTAATATGTAACTGTAAAATTACGCAAACTGTAATTTATCAACCAGACTTATATATCTGAAATATACTGCATATTATCTGAATATAAATGAGTTAGTTATACTCACTAAGAAAACTCAGACTCACAACAAGAGATTTATTTTCCATAGCTCCTAGATCTAGAAGTTTTACTGCAAAAATAATTTTTCATAACGTGCATTATCATAGTTTGTCATTTTAAATATTCATGAAATCCTGAATTCATGCAAAGAATCTGACTTCAATAAAACATGTTATTCAAATTCATCCTATGATCTAACCCAGGAGGTCCATGTCAGCAGTCTCTTTTCTGATATAAACTCCCATCATACCAAATAAGAAGTTTTGCCAGAGAAAACATCACTGAACCAGGTCTAATATCGTTTTTTATTTCTGGACATTAGAATCACACAATCCATTGTTGTAGTAGTGTCCCAATATAAGAAGAGTAAATCTTTGTAACAGTCCCATAGTTTCCAAACTGTGCAATTGCTACTAATAGTCAACTTATTACCATCATTTAAATTTCCACTAAGATGTACAGTCAGAAATCAAGAACACAATGTTTTGAGATTAATGTTTAAATAAGATATGTCCACTGGTATAGAACAGGTGTCATTTCATTAAATATAGCTATGCCAGGGACAAACAAGTGTAAAGAGCAATCTGAGACTTATGCTAAGTTCTTTAACTTTATTTTCTGATCCCTAAACTAATAAAAAATATAAATAAATACTGATTGGATCACTCTGCACAAAACACAGCTACTGTTCCATCAATACTGCAATGCACATAATTTTTTAGCATTTCGTATCTATCTTCACGCACTATACAGAGGAAAGCTTTAAAAATTGCCTACCAGAGTTAAGAACAGATAAATAACTCATGCTTCTGCTTTCTACAGGTTAAGTGAACAGCCAGGAAAACTTTGCAAAAATCAGGCTATGCAAGTGCCAATATTGCTTCATCAAGTAGCTTCCTTTAAGTGAGATTCACTCCCAGATTTACAGCACAAAATTTATTTTTGATGGAACTTAGTGTGGTTTCCCTTTGTGACAGTACCTGCCTGCCAACTTGGAATATAGATAGATAAATTAAAAAGCCAAAACACCCCACAAAACCAAAGAGCTGGGAGTGGACAGGACCTGGTTGTGCCCTCTGAATCTCAAGTAACATTAAAACATCTCAGCTGTTCCATAGCACTAGGTACAATTCAGTGGGGATAAAGTATCACTTATTAGTTCAAAGAAAAGAATCAAGTGTGAATATTTATCTCCGTGATCTTCTTGAAGAATATCAGTTTCAGGCAATCCTAAACTATTCCCTTTGGAAGGAAAAGGCTGCCACTAATATTCAACCGTAGACTCTGTTTTTTGTAAAAACATACGAGTGCACTACAGTGATTTTGTGGTAGCATCTACCAGGCCTCTGCACTGCTTACTCCTGGAGAGTAAGGTACGTTTATATACAACCTCACTTTATTCCAATCTGTCTCCAGGGGCTCCAGTTCCCATTCTAGATCAATTGAGCTGAGTAAGTAATAATTCTAATGTTGTATGACTTCACTGGTATATAAGTCATCAATATATCTCTTAATATAAAACAAAAAAGCAGAAAACCATTTTAGAAATTTCATTTTAAAACTTGATGTTTTTCTAACCTTGGAAAAGGCAGCTGCAGGAATGTCTTTTAATTGAATAGGAAAGATGACAGAAAATGTATTACAATTTGTGCTCACTCTGCGTTAAGGTCTACAAAAACGGCTGAAACCTTTCTTATGAAGTAATGATCAAAATAACATAGATTTTATTTATCTATTTATTATTGTTTATCACTTATGGAAGACTTTGAAAAAAGCTTCCATTACCATTTTCTCAACAATGGAGAAAATTAGATAGGTATTGAGTACTGTCATACATAATAATCATCCCATTTCATATTCACTGGTATGCTCATAAATGAAACATAAGGTCTTTTGACGGGAATTTTCACCTTGAAGGCAATAATGACCATTTGCTTACCAAACATAAATAAAAGGGAAAGTACAGTATTTCTTACCATTGTAAGCGTGAATGGATGGCTTTCCAGTGCAGACACTCTTGGACAGTGTAGAATAACATACTGAAACAAAATCAGCCAGAGAAAATAAAATGATAGAAAAGACATGTTCAAAACATTCAGTGATGGGTTAGTACATACAAAGTGAAAGTCATCCCTGCAGACAATGCTACAGGAGCAGCAGTGATTTTTTGGGGGTATATTAACTCACCTGACCAGGCCTTGCTTTAAAGTCATCTTTCACCATCCTTACTTCAAGGACGTTGGAGGGATGGCTTATCACTGAAGTTATCGTGACCGGTTTATTGCTGCGGATGTAGCGGTACAGCCTTTCCACACAGTACAAGCACAGAGGTCCTGAAATCCAAAACCAGGTCTATGGAAGAACAACATTTCTTTGTTACCTCAGAGACTTTTCATTTTATGTTTCCTAATTTCAAAACTACATGAGTGCTTTCAGAACCTCACTTCACATCTATTGTGGAACAGTGTTTTGGTCACAAGTAACCTCCACACCTCTACGTGCAGAAATCCAAGCACAATATGGAGGCTTAATCAGTCTAACCCACAATATCATCCACAAGCACAAATGATTTCAATCATAAAACTCATTAGGAACAAAATGCTAATGACCTCATTTGCAACTATGTTACTCTGGTTTTATGTAGTTAGATTGTGAGCGGTTTCAGCAGTTGAATAATACAGTACATACACTGTTTAAAAACCTAACAGACCAGAGCAATAAGAAAATGGTGAACCTTTATGGAAAAACAGTTTCTGTCTTGCAATATTATTTGACTATTACCTTCTTTTAATCATCTCAGGTACAAGCAAAAAACTAAAAAAAGCAATTATTGTGCTACAGAATTTATGCTTATATTAAGCTAGGGTAAAATCATAGGGATTGAGACACAATGGGAGGGAAATGGGCACTTCTGAATCATGATTCATTTGCCCCTGTGGAAGACATGTATGCTAGACAAAGAATGCCCTGGAAATGTCCATTTCTCTGCACTGATTATATGGGGAGCCCTGGGTGACTATCTCAGATGGAGACATTTGCAGCTGCTCAGCTAAATCCCATCCTAAGAGTCAATTACTAACAGCTTATGGCAGAGCTAACTACTAATTCCAGATCTGCTCAGTCATTCAAGCTGTGGCACTGAAAAGCCCTCAACCCTCATCCATGTTCCCTTCCCAATTTTTGAAGTTACATGTCAGCATCTCTTGCAACTTGTATTTAATTTCCTCAGACACCTTTGGCCTTACAAACTTCAGTAGCTCATGGGACCTAAGGGCACTGCAGGCATTGTTTCTTTAGACTTAGTATTGTTAAGTGCATAAAACACTTCCAAATAAAAAAAAAATCCTAAATAATGTTACCAGCTGCCAGGAGAACACCGAGTGGACATTTCTTTCCATGGCTCTTCTTTTCCCGTAAATGGCTCTAAAGTAGGCACCTTAAGCCCCTAAGACTGTCTGATATCCTGTGGGTCATATGGAGCCAGGTATACATTGATGCTTGTAATTCAGGAGTATTACCGCAACAAAATACAAATCCAATGAACTTTGTTGGAGGACTTCAATGTAGAATTGACTGTTTCTTATAATGATTACCTGCTTCATAGTAAAATGGGTTCCCAATGCAGCTAGTAAAGGACATAAGTGTTCTACAGAAAACAATTATAATAATAAACTCATGTGAGGTCTGTTATGGGACCACCTTGAATGGTGGGCCTTGGACTTGTGAAGTCCGTATTCCCAAACTTCCTCAGGCTAACTGCCAAAACAGACCAGCTCAACTTTTCTCAAAAGAAAAGAGAAAATTTAGATGAAGAAAAAGCTGCTGCCACAAAACATAAAGAAACAAAAGAAAAATGGAAAACAGAAAAAGAAAAGGTTCTTCCATCCCTACTGTCATCATACTCATTTACCCATTGCATGTACAAAACAAGCCTGTCTGCAAACAACAGGCTATACAAAGCCAAACCACAACCAACTGCAACCCAGAAATGAGTACTAGGACTTGCATCCGCATGGTAAAAAAGAGAACAAATGCAGTACGATTATTTCAATTAACTACTGCCGCACAATGCTTACAAAAGGACCTCATGAATATGTTACATAAATGTTTGCTCTGAAGTGTTACACTGTAATTTAAAGTCACATTTATAGCAAGACCAATACATCTCTTATCCCATTGTCCAAAAAAGAACATTACAGCCAGTGTCTTGACATTTTTCCACCCTATTCTATGCACCACATTATAATGCAGTTCGAGGTTAAACACAGACTGGTTTTTTTCCCACCAAACCTTTGAATGCCTGAAAAGGTTTTAATAATATTTTCCGTTATTAAAACATCTGGTCTGGAAAAGCAATAATTAGTGGTTATGGCTGACTGGAAGACTTGGCATGGCTTGTAATACCTGAAACGTCGGATCATACAGACCTCTGGGAAGTGTGACTGGAACTTGGGTTCCTCGGAACAAATTCTCATAAAGTTATTTTGTACAAAGTTTTCTGGTACTGATAAGTCCTCTGGGAAAGGCTCAGTAGTATAGTCAGGAAACGACTCTTCAAAAGCCTTTGGCACCGTCATATTCTCTTGGAGTGTTTTGTTAGGATTAAAGCAACCAGGAGGGTGTTCCTCTAAGTTGGTCTGGTACTTGAGCACTCCCCTACAGGAAAACAAAAATAGCAAAGACACTGAAGTAACAGTGAAAACCAAGAAACTTATCTTAATTTGGAGAGGGTTTTAGAAAGCAGTCAGAAGGTTGATCTTCTGTAAGAATTTTTATTCCATTTGCGTTTAGGACCTTCAATGAGATTGAAGCTTTGCAACAATAAAGCCCTCTGTCACTAGAGACAAGGTTTAACTTTTCCAGCTCACTTTGCACTCCCCCACTGAACAGCCACAACCCTATTACTGCTTGAAAGGGGGAGATATTGTGGGACCCCTGGAAAAAAATTAAATAATCACATTTCTAGTTCAATCACACCCAAGCTGTTTTCACTCATCCTCCCTACAGTCAGCAAGCCCTGTTTAAGGCCATCTGTAGCAGAAGTGGCCTAAGTTGCCAAATCATAAACTGAGGAACGTTCTCACTGCTTTGTGTTTATCAGGTTTGCACACAATTTCATTCACAAGGAGAGAGAGGAGTAGGACATTTGCTCCTTTGAATATCATCTTGTCAAATAGAAGGAAAAAGAAGTCCTGCATGATAGCCAAGGAACCTTTCTTGCAAATTATTTTGTTGGGGTCCATGCTTCTTTTTAAGCTAAAGTTAAATTTAGAGCAAAATCAAGTGAGAACTTTGCAGCTGAAGCTAGAAACTATGAAGAAAGAAGTGGAAACCCGAGATACCCTGGTATATCACAACACATGAATGAATCACTGAAAACAGGGAAGAACTGATAATACTAGTAATAAAAGTCCTTGGAAGTACTGCTTGCCTCCAAATCTGGATTTGATGACAGTAAAACCACAAGGAGGTTAAAAAAACAAAGGGCTAAATGACAGCTGTATAGGATGGTGCTGGGTGGGAAATAAGGCACGCTGACACAGATGTCTGGTGAGAAGTGCCCTCTGAGCATTAGGCCATGTGGTGAAGACTCATCTCAAGTATACAATCAAACATAAGGACATATGCTCCCCCCTCCTCTCCCCAACGTACACACAGAGCAGCAGCGGTGACAGTTTCATTCACAAGGAGAGAGAGGAGTAGGACATCTGCAATATTCCCAAGTTAAATGGGCTCCAACAGGTTACTGGCAATCTTCCCTACTGAAATGCAATCCTGACAGCTAGTAACAAGCTTCCTGCATGGTCCAGTGAATAATGTACAGCTTGGAAGTCAAACCTGATCACTCTAAACTCCACCTCCAACCCTAGAAGAATCACTTGGGAAGTGTCCATGCACCTACACCCATGCTTCTGTCTGTGTTCATTGCCCAGTCATGCCTATCGCTTGCATCTGGCATCACTGTTGGTCTCCACATAGTTTCAAAGTGACAGATAGTCCTAGCATTATGCTAGTTCCCTGCTCCATAAATATTATGGTGCCTCATGGATTTAGCTGGAAGTCACAGCCATGCAATATTTTTCCAATCAACCTTGTGTGCATGCCTGCCAGCTGCTCCCACAGCTTCGCTGTTCTTAGAACATCCCAAACGAGGATTCAGAATTTTCCTTGAGACATGAATAGCTGAACTGCAAACATGAGCATCCCCTCCAGTAATCTCTAGTTTGTTTAAATTATTATAAACATGCTAACTGAGTGGCAAACTGGGATGACAAAGCTGCCTGTTAACAGCAGCTGCAATGATTCCTGTTTCTGAAGCTGTGAAGGAAAGGCAAGTTGTCTTACACCCCCAAGATCAGTTCCCAGAAAGGTAGAGCTCTGCACAATTCTTAAGGAGTGCAATACTTGAATACATAAAAATCGGTGTGTCGATGTCAGTAAGTAGACAGACATCTTTAGCAAACAAAAATGTGAGAGGCAAAAAGGGCAAGTCATATGAAAGTGTCCTACTGGATGAGCAACACAGCATGCAGTCTATCTGCATGGGCATACATCAACCTCTGCCCTAATTTTTCACACCCAAAATAGAGACAACATTCACTTCTGGATAGAGCTGGAAAATATATATCACTATTTCTGGAGATTTTTATGATGATAAGCTAAAGGTCAATGGTTCTCAATGGTTTTATAGGGAACTACACTGCTCCTATCTTCTCATCCATCTTCTGCTGCACAACTCAAGGTGAGTTGCTTGAGGGGTCTCCTAAAGGTCAATGTGTGGGTGGAATCTTAAGAATTTTCATCCTTCGGGAGATAATTCCTTGGATAACTCTAGTGGCTCTTACTCTCTGCTCCTATGAACCAGTATAACCCACTTAACTCCACAATAATAACAAATTTGGATCAGTAGAAGATCTGGCTCCAAATGTTTCATATGTTTTATAGCTCTTTATACTGGTACTAGAAACATCAAGCTTCTGTTTTCACATAAACTATTTTTTGTTGTTGCTATTACTGGCTTAAAATACAGATAAATGAATGTAGATATGCACCAAGCCTTAAGCCACTAAAATATCTGAAAGTCTCATTGAAAGAAGTACAAGAGCAATGGAAGTCTTTAAGTATAATTCCCTGAAAGATTCTCCTCTCCCTTAGGGTAGGGATGAAAGAACAAACCAAAAACACACGAGATGAATCATGTCACTTTATATACTCCTGAGAAGTGCTTGGCTACCCTGAAGAAGAGGATACTGCAAGAACATGTGTATAATAGTTTGAAACAAAACAAGAATGCTGTGGAAATACTCAAAAGGAGAGCTCCCAAGACAGGGAAATCCTCATCAATCTGCCTGCACAGTCCAGCCACGGGAAATGCCTTGCTCTGTAGACTAACTGGCCATGTGTCTGCAAATCTCTAAGACATGCCATGTAGGAGTCATTTGGGCACCTAAGCACGGGTGTCTAAGCTTCCTTTATTCTCAGAAGAGATCTTCTAACCAATATCACCAATAGGGCCCAGAAATCGATCCAGCTCACTTGAATGTACATCTTTGTAACAGCAGGTTAGCTGAAGCATTTTCGAGACTCCATTGACTGTATTTATTAGAACTCATTAGACTATGATGGGAGAAAGGCACTTAGAAAACATTTAGGCATCTTAAACTTGAACTGACTCCCACTGTCCATGACTCATTCTTCTCCCACTTTCAACCGACACTCAGTTTTTAGACTTGTACTGAACAACTTTCCAATTCAATACTAAGGAGGCTCTGTACAAGAAGATGCCTATTAAACGCTTGGTGTATTCCTGTAGCCTTGGTTTGGGAACTTTTCCAACTAGACTTCTTCCTTCATGAAGTGGCAACATGGTTAGGAAGACAATGGGCAAAGTGAATTAAAAGATGAATTAAACTGGACATGAAAAATATTCCAAAGGCAATCACTGGAACAGATTGCCTAGGAAGGTTAGAGGATCTCAGTCATCAGATGTTTTCAAGAAGTTAGACAAACATCTGTCAAGAATAGTTTAGCAAAAGTTCACCCTGCTTCAGGATGGAGAAAAAGGTTAGATCCATCTTCCCCAGCTATGAACAAGAGCTATGCCACAGAAAAGAAAAAAAAAAAACAAAATGAAATAAAACCAAACCGAAACAAAAAACCCCACAGAGAACTGGAACTGTATCCAGGAGTTTCAGCTGTTTGGAACTCATTATTTCCATTCACCAGATCTCAAGCTGCATTTGTTTTGTTCAACAACATATTCCTACTGTGATCTTGCTAGGCCTAATTACCTTTCACTGCTTCCTTTAAGCAGCGGTGCCGAGTGTCACACAGGCATTCCAGCATCCCGTGTTTCAGTAGATGTTTGATGACATGGAGAAAAAAAACTCGTTCAAAAACACTCTCCCTTCCCTATTCCAATCTCTGCACCTACATCCACAAAGGAAACTTCAGGTGTTAATGGACCAGATTTTCACACAGCGCAACTTGTGGAAGCTGCTTTACCTTGCGGTAGAGCTCGGCTTGTTTGTGCCAGATCCAGACCTGACCATCAGCTTCATGGCACATGAACACTGGTCTGATGTTTGTGAAAACAAGAACTAGTAAATTTTGTATCATAGTAATGAGAAAGATAATTAGGGGGAGACCGTTCCTTCCCTCTCCTTAGGAGTCAAAATAGAAGGCAGAGAGGAAAGAGAAAGGGATGAGCAACTTTGCTACACATTCTTCTCTCAGCAGCCAGGTAAGAGGGGGCAGAAAGGGAACAATAATGTTCCAATGATTTCCCACTAGAAACTGGCAAAATGGACAAGGAATAAACTTGACAGTGAAGAACTTTGTGCTAGCTGGCTGTAGTAACACACAATTCACCAAGCTACAGTCTGAACTTTATTTAAACAATAACCTGTTGAAAAACTGAAAAGGATAGCATCTTGTCAAGAAGTTGGCCCACTGTGCACAAGTGAGCTCGGGAAAGGCAGCAATCAAGGCAACTGCTCTTTCTGGTTGTGCTTCAGGAAAAGGGACAGTGTTTTCCATTTACTTACCCAGAAACATGCAGCATCAGCAGCATATAGAAGACAAAGAAAAGGTTGTGTGTATACCAGAAGATGTCATAGTTTGAAACCCTGAAAAGAATAAACCATGGTTCAATGCTGTTTTGCTCAGATAGAATCACTGCTAATTAGAAGCAGATCTCTGCACACAGGACATCATTACACACTATGTAGTCATGTAGAATAGTCAAAGCCCAGTGTGTATTCGTGCAGGCACACTGTACTTGCAAGCAATTAAGTGTTGAGAAGAGCAGGTGACTGGCACAGGAGTAAAAAGCTAAGAAAGAGAGATGAAGGACACAGAAGTACAGAGCCAGCTGAAGAACTCTTCCTAAATTAAGAGACTTCACTGCTTGCACAGGTTCTACTTGGTCCCTATCAGACCTTCATAGCTAGAATAGTTCTTTACTCTCCAGACTCAAACTCAGCCTCTTTACAGTGAGTGCCTCCTTGCGTTCTCCCTGCCCCAGTAAAGGGCTGTGGTGTTTAATGTGTCACTACTGGTACAACATACAAACAGGTAGAGTAGACAGCAGCAGAAGGGCTGTTGGGAAAGGTAAAAGAAACTTGTGAGGGTATGGAGCGGAAGGAGATACAGGAGGAAAGGGAGCTAGAACAAGGAGGCAACCAGAGGACAGGTGGGAGAATTTTCGGGGCAGGAGGCCACATACAGTGGGGCTCTAGGACTGATGGTCTTGGGAGGAACAAGAGCATTACCACTGTGAGGATCAGGAGAGGTGGAGGGGAAATAGGACCTCCTTTCATCAGTCATTTGTTAGGTAATGTAAAAAGAACCAAGACCAAAGAAAACACACATCTGGAATTGTTTCCTGTTAAGCTTGTCTGTTTTTTCCTGAGTAAAACAGTCACCAAAAAACAACAACAACCAAATGGTTAAGAAAATACTCTACTTCACAGCACACAAACACACCTCTCACACTACACAGCATGGTAGGAGAGTCTCTTCCAAAACCAAAAAACCTACACCCATTCATAAGCCAAAACAATTATCAAAATAAAAAAACCACCTTAACTCTGAGAACATACTTTAAGAAGCTACTCCTTCAACATAGCTTTTTTCAGTATCTTTTTCCCTCTTATGGCCTTTTACACAAACTACTCTTGCTCCAATATGTCTGAAACCTACACTTGTGCTGGGTTTGCCTGGCAAGGTGTTGGTAGCAGGGGAGCTGCAGTGGCTTCTGTGAGAAGCTGCTAGAAGC